CTCTCACAAACCCTCTGGTACATAAACAAAACTCTTGAACAAAGTGACCTGTTCCAAAATAACAAACGCAACATTCAAAAACCCACTTGGGATATTGTTTCTGTGAAGTGTGTGATCCAGTCAGTCATGTGAAACAACAAGTGAACAAGAGAAGTTTAGTGTTCTTTCTGAAGGATACAAGAGGAAGCACCTTCTCTGTTTGAGAAACACGCTCAAAATAAATTCCTGTGAGTGCGACACCAATAAACAGCTGGAGCAGTGATTTGTTGTGAGTTTTCCAACAGCAGAGACACACAGGACCAGTGTGATATGTTCACGTAGGCTGAGGCATTGTGTGTTTCCTCCTGATTATGACTCAAAAAAAAAAAAAAAAACAAATAGAAAAAGCCCTACTCACCCAACTCACTGATGGAATTTGACATGACTGATATTTTCACTGTGTTTGCTGTGAACAATAATCTCAGTGTATTGACTTCAAATCCTTGATGCTTGTTACAGTTCAAGTGCTAAATGTTCTGCTCAGTCACCTTAGATGATGCTTGCTCCTTTGATTTATCGTACAAGCTGCAGAAAGTCTGGAGGATTCCAGGGTAAAACTATCAGCTAAAGATGAAACATTTATAAAAGGACAATCCTAAAGCTTTGGTTGGACTCACAGACCCTCAGACTCTCTGAGACTTTTTGCCTGTATGTCGTCCTGATGAATCCTGCTGTACCATCATTAAAGGAAGTGTAAGAAACATATCCATGCCTGAAACAACAGAAATCAACAGTGTGTTCAGACACAGGACTGTGTGTGTGGCTCTGACTCTCTTAAACTCACTCTGACTTCCTGATGGAAACCACAAGCTTTACTGCAGAGACACAGACTTCAGACGAGCTCAGAACACCAACGACCTTCACTAAAACTTCGACAGTTTTTCAACATTTGTACTGACTGTGGCAGACATTTCTGTTTCATTTGATCAGTTGACTCTTGTTTGATAGTCAGTAGTGAGCTGGAGAGTGTTCTGAGGATTTGTTACTTCAAATCCTGCTCCTGGCAGTAGCTTCATTGTTAGAGCTGTCAGATCTATTAGCCCACAGGTTGGCGGTTTGATCCCAGCTCAGGTTCATACTGTTGTTGTGTCTTCGGGCAAGACATTTATCCTGTTTTCCCTCCAGTATTTGTGCACACTGCTGTATGAGTGTGTGAACAGAGACTGGTTCTTTGGTGAAGTGTGAGGGGTCGTTGGACGTAGAGCTGTATAAATGTGACTGTTTACTTCATATATTCTGTGCACAGGCTCTGGCTCTTTAGCTCACCACAAATGGGTCAATCTCTGTATGACAGACGGAGGTGCGACTGTGCAAAGAGCAGGTTTCAGATCACACCCTGGCTCTCTTTCTTCATGACTGTTTCATTTCCTGTTATGCATTATTTAGATTTACAGAAAGACATGGCAAAATGACTTTATTGTGTCTCATAGTGCAAATTTGTCTTAGGCACCTACTGCATCAGTACTACACACTGTAAAATCCAGTACCAGTTAAAGCTTAAACACTGAAGGTGAATGAATAAGTTTTTTTATTCATACATACATTCATTCATTCACACAACACATAATAATAATTCAAATGCAAAACAAGTAAACACACACACACAAAAAAAAAAAACACATTATGCACCACATTAACACTATAGAATGGCCTGATAGAGAAACATAATAAACACAAATACAATGTAAAAATCAAATATAACCCAAGTTATTTACAATTAAATGTGTGTATATATATATATATATATATATATATATATATATATATATATATATATATATATATATATATATATATATATATATATATATATATATATATATATATATATATATGCGCAACTTTTTTCTCTCATTTCTTGACACTGAAGTAGACACATTCGGTCCATGTGTCAGGTGTGTGTCTGCTCCTTCTGTTCATCTGTTCTGTGGTCTTGTACTGGACAAGTTTGGAGAAATCCTACAAAATTAAAACAAAAGTAAATCTATGAAAATGTAAATTAAGAGATTACAGAAAACAAACACATACCTCAGACTTTACTGGAAAACTTCTCATGTATGTCTCTGTAAAAGAAAAGAAGTATTACATTTATCCTTGTTGGAGTATATTGTACATGCAGTACTTTGTTCTAAACTCAGAGTCCTGGGTTCTGTCTGCAGCTGACTGTAAAATCTTTTATTCATCACACACACAAAAGGAAGCTTTTCTTTGCCGTCTGAAAAAGTAGTTCTAATACTTGGCACATGTTTGTAAATGATGCATGTGAACACAAGTGACATTAAAATGACCTCTTCTTCCCTTCACAGTGAAATAATCAGTACCTGAGCTTTAAGGAACCATTTGGGCCAAACTGATCTTTTCTTAAATCTTATGACTGGAATCTTCGATTGAATCTTAAGACTTCATGACCAAAATAACACAACTATATTCCAAAGTAAAACTCCTTTCTCTGAACATGTCAGTGCTAAACTGACAGAAACTCTACTTCTTGAACTTCATGGAATCCTTTGGAGAAAAGGATGGAAGTTAAACCTAAATGGACACGTTACAATATTATACATGAAAGACATGATTATTGTATTTGTCACTGTGTGTTTTTGTGAATGAATGTGCTGCTCTGTGTGACTTTAATTGCTGCTTGGGGACAAATACATTTATTTGAATTGAATAAAAGTTGGCATGGTGGCTTGCACTTTTGCCTCACAGCAAAAAGGCCTGTGGGCCTTTCTGGGTGGGTTTCCTCTGGGCTCATCAGTTTCCCCCAATAACAATAAACTCAACATGTGGAGATTGGTCCCTGGGTCCAGCACTGTGGCACTTTGCTCCTGACAGGCGGCATTGAAGGATGGGTCAAATGCAGAGGACACATTTTCCCTTCTGGGACAACAAAGTCTAACTAAACCTCTTTAGTGTAACTGTTTATTGGATAATAACTGTGAACAAATCCATAAGTGTTTTGACATATTATACATGTAAAAGTTGAGTTTTTGGTGGATTTTTTTGTCTCTTGTGTGACGTTACCAACCTTACATTGTTTAAATTCTCGACCCCTCAATACTCAGTTTAATGTTAGCACATTTGTAGATTGAACAGTATCATGAGTTATTTACCTGTCTTACTTTGGATGCAGAAGCAAAATGTGAGTAAAACGACCAGGCTGGTGCTGAATATGGAAACTCCACTCAGAACATAAACCATACTGTCTGAGACACCTACAAATGAACAATTTACAACAAAATGAACAACAAAAAAACACTATATTTTAATGATATAACTCACCTTTTACTGTGACCCTGGTCCCGTTCCCAAACAGGACTTGTCCACAGGCGGCCACAGCGCAGTAGTAGGTCCCAGTCTGCTCTGAGTTCACATTGTGTATGGGGAGGCTGTACACACAGGAGTTGGTTGGACTTTTTTCCATTCGTTCTTACACTCTTCACCCACACGACCTCCTCCATGACTGTACAGGACTCCTGCTGCAGACTCTTCAGACTGTTTGAACCAGTGAACCCTGTGCTGTCCTTCACACCTCTCAGTCTGGACACTACAGTTTAGAGTCACATTATTTCCTGGTTCTGTTTCCTCATGTGGAGACTGACGGACTTCAACTGTTGCGCTCAAACTCTTCACAATCACAGTGACACTTTCCTGGAACTCACTTTGGTGTAAAAAGGATCGCACACAGTGATAAACAGCAGAATCAGAGATGTTTATGTTGTTGATGTGTAAGTTATTTTTGTCATCGTCATAATCCAGCTGGAAACGATTGTCACTGAGAAATTCTCCATAAAATTCACTCTTTTGGTCATATTTATAGTATGAACAGATGACCATTGGCTTCATGCCCAATTTTTGTTTGTACCAGTTAAGTCTAGCTCCATCCTTAACATTTTTTGCAGAATGACAAGGTAGGGTGATGTTATCTCCAACAGATGCTAAGAGGAAACTGCCTTGTTCTTGTTGATTTACAGACAATGGCAGGTCAGACATCGACGCTAAAAAGACAAATGAAAACAAAACTTTCAAAGCGTTCTAGAGTGACAGGAACATATTTGGATTAATAGTACAATTCTGCTTACCTGAACTGACCAGCGCAAGAGTAAAGAGAGTCTGAACAGAGAACATCATTGAAGATTGTGCAGAACAGTAAAAGGTGTGAATGTGGTCACTGCTTTTTCAAGCCTAGTCTTGCATTTGATTGGCTGAGGGTGGCAGATGTAACAAAAGTGCAAGATTACCCATTTCCTTATAAACTGAACAAATGTGCTGTCTGCACTGTAGTCTGATACAGTCATGGTGTTGTGGGTAAACTTGTGCTCTCTGTCAAAATGAAAAGGTGAGATAAGATGTGGTGATCATGTTCATGTCATCCACACTGCTGGTTCTAATATATGAACTATATACAAGTCTGAACAATGTACAGCACACTAGTATCTCATTTACATGTCTTCTATGTTTTCTTTTTGTGAAGACTTATTATTAAAGGTTTTCTGTCAAGCCACTTTTATAGTCATATTTTAACAGGGAAAGTGGTTATTCATAGGAATCATTGGGTTCCAAATGTCGTGTTTGTGTTTTAATCCTATATATTTCATTTTTGTAAAGCTCAGAAGGACATGTTGCCTCTTAGGGCTCAACAAGATCATTTGTTTAACCAATAAATGTGAAAATCAAACAGTGTAACAGTCAGTGGTCAATAACAGACAGACACACCTTCTTCTTCTTTTCCTTCTCAGCAAGAAAACAGCTCTAAAAAAATAATCTTGGCAGAAATGTGACATCTCTAGAATGCTAACAGTGCACTTCCTGATTACCAGACAATAAAACATTTTAAAACTAGAAAAGCACTCAGAGAGCGCAGACCTCCGCCAAGGACTACCCCCCATTTTTTATATCAATTACGATAAAATCAGTCTTCTGGATCAGATCCAGATCAGCCTTTGGAATATGAAAGAGGATCCCATTGTCCATCCCTGAGTCAAATTTCATGGGGTTTGGTCAATAATTAACCAAGATATTGAGAAACAAAATTTTTGGCCCCATTTACCACAATGTTAACTAAAATTTCAAAGTGATCCAGAATCCAGGATTTCTTCCGGATCACCCTCAAAATGAAATCAGTTCTTCCTTTTCACATTTCCAACAAATCCTGAAAATTTCATCAAAATCGGTCCATAACTTTTTGAGTTATGTTGCTAAAAGCCAAACAAACAAACAAACAAACAGACAAACGCCGGCAAAAACATAACCTCCTTGGAGGAGGTAATTAGATGCAGAGAAACACATTTTAATCTGTTTAAATATGTATTGTGTACATTTTCAGTTGGGGTCCATCACCTGCTCGTTTCTATGGAGATGTCATTGATCTGCCTGCGATGTTCCACAGTGTGACATTAAACAGCTCTACTTTACATTTATTCTATTACAGGTGGTTTTATTGGTCGAAAATGGCAAAATTAAAATAAAAAATAAAAAAAGGGATTCTGACTGTGAGCGGGGTCACCTCTCCACAGATCTGACCTGTTACTTGGTCTTTTTTGCTCTCCATGATGGTAGAAAGCTTTAATGCCATACTGTGAAACATTCCAGACAAAGCAATAACATCTTTGTGGAGACAAGCATTTGACTGACCCTCCACCAGAAAAGTGACACAGTGCATCTTTAAACAGTAAAGCTGTAGTGGGGCGACACATTTAGATCAAATCTATTGAAAACAAAAAAAAAATAATAATAATAATTGTTGTATTTACAAAACTCTAGAATAGAAGGACATAGAACATAGAAGGACAAACAGATTCCAAACCATTTTTTAGAGGATGACTGAGAGATGTGTCAAAACTTTTGTCTTTACAGATTTGTTACATTCTCATATCCATTTTCTGGAATTCAGCATTTCATGTTATAAGTCTTAATAATTAAAGGCTCCGTTTGGACAAATGTTTGTACAGATGCAAGTGCACAGGAGCAGCAAAGTTCCCTGTTCTCTACGTAACAGTAAGTATGTGTGAAACCAGCACACTTAAACCATGTCCATGTTCAGTGGTGTGGGAGAACATCAGAGTACACACAGTCAGTGTGAGCAGTGACTCTCTGTCTTCTGGACGGAGGCTGGACTCTCAGAGCAGCGTAATGGAGGGAGTCCACGTCCTGCTCCTGACCCTGCAACAGCAAGAACATGTTCACTCCAGTGGTTTGTAAACATATTTGGCGTAACATGGCAACATGATAACAAGATTACAGGATCAGGTTAAGTTGAAATCATTGGGGAGTGGAGGATTGGCCAATCAGAAATGGGACAAACGTTGCAACAATCTTGTTTTCAGTACAAATACCACCGATGACTGTATGGTGAGATACCGACCAACTCTAGTAAATTATGTTCAGAAAATGAATTTTGTCTTGTTTTTATAGCAAACTTTACATTTTCTTCCAGTAGGACAAACAGTGTCTTGCTCATTTCCCTGACATGTTTTGGTGATAGGACTGCCGCCTTGATCAGAGGTGTGTCTGTCTGCTGTGACGTGTCTTATCAGCTGTTGTGACGGTGTGAGCCAAAGTGAACGGCCCCTTGTCTCTGCTGATGGTCCGGTTACAATCTAACACTCACACAGTGTTAAAGAGATCACCAAACAGAAAAGACTCACCTTTAAATCACTCTGTCAAGTGGAGAGCTGCAGTGGAGCTGCAGTGGAGGTAAGTTTAGAGGCAAGTTTATGGATCACGGCGGGTTTACACTGACTGTGGTGTTGTATTTACAGATTTACACAAACACAAACTACGACAGCTGCAGGATTTGACCAAGGTGTAAAAAATAGACTTCTAGCTTTTTCTTTTCGTAGACCCAAACCTCAGTCACACTCACAGTCAGAGGTCAGAGTGGCAGTAGGTGGCAGGTGCAGAGGTCAGGTGGCAGGTGCAGAGTCAGTGTGGCAGGTGCAGAGGTCAGAGTCAGAGTGTCAGGTGCAGAGGCCAGTGGCAGGTGCAGAGGTCAGTGTGGCAGGTGCAGAGGTCAGTCAGGTGCAGGTCAGGTGCAGTCAGGTCAGTGTGGCAGGTGCAGAGTCAGTGTGGCAGGTGCAGGTGCAGGTCAGAGGTGGCAGGTGCAGAGGTCAGTGTGGCAGGTGCAGAGGTCGTGTGGCAGGTGCAGAGGTCAGAGGTCAGTGTGTCAGGGCACATTGGTTTTATTGACTTTCTAAGTCACATGTGTCAAACATACGGCCCGGGGGCCAGATCCGGCCCTCCAAGACCTTTAATGTGGCCCTTCGGCTGATTTTTCTACTAAAATATTTTAATTATATTTCTTATTAAAATATTATTAATTTTCTGTGGTGCTTATCACAGCAGTGTCTCCAGCGTCTCTGTACGTGGCCCCTCCCACCAGAGCAGCACAAATGAAGACTTGTCTCTTTCCAAACGCTCTTAAAGGACGATCGTTTTGACTGTTGACCGTGACACCCTCATCAGAAAAATGTCCAACATGAGAAAAGTGGAGCCAAGTGCAGGATTTTGCAACAAAAATTGACTTATTCCTATTTACATACAAGTTCATGTTAAAACATTGTGTTGAAATTGTATTTTTCTTAAAGTTTCAGGTTGTTCATAATATTATAATATTTTGTAAAAAAAAAAAAAAAAAAAAAAAAGAGTTCATCAATTAAAAACGTATTGTTATTTTTGGGATTTATATGACATGAGTTTTCTGATCCGGCCCCTTTGGATCAAAGTCAGTTGGATTCGGCCCCCGGACCAAAATGAGTTTGACACTCCTGTTCTAAGTGTTGTGGGACCTGCATGAGTCCTGAAGCTCACTACACTTACAGACAGAGAACATCGGGCGTCACTGTCACAGGACTTGATGAGATGAGTCTGTGACACTTGGAGCTCGGTACCTGCTCCAAACCCACGATTTAACATATGGGAAAGGCCTGGTGACCACTGTTACTCCAACAAACAAGTGCCTGGGCTCAGTGATGTGTTGGGGAGCGTGTTCCAGACTCAAGTGCACAGAGATATACTGTTACTGTGGATCAGACTTGGGCCACCTCCTGGGCCAAATACGGCTCTTTGGTTGACTCTGTCTGGCTGTTTTAAGATCATTTGGAATTACAAAATAAACATATTTTATCATTATACTTTATGCATAGATGAAAGCTGCTTTTTTTTGTAAGTTTGTTTTTCATTGCTTAGCCATAACATAAACTTTTAAAAGTCTGACCAGCTCGTCAAAACAATGATGTTTACTGCTTGAGAAATATAATTAATATTATGCAAAATTGAGTTAAGCATTTTGGCCCGGCCATCCACATATATTTTCTGTTCCTCATGTGGCCTCATGGAAAAAAATAATTGTCTGTCCCTGCTGTGGATAGACCTACATCAGCTGATGGGGCAGTCAGCTGAGCACGTCAATAAAAATGCAAACAGCAGCCCAGCATTTCTTTACAAATAACAGAAAATGTCCATATCATATGTGGAGAGGCTGTTGGAAACGGGAAGCGGGGCAGAGGACCATCAGCAGAGTGGAGGGGGTGTTTACCTCCGCGTCCACATGAGGTGGTAGCAGTGTTCAGTCGGACAGATGTGACAGATCTGTCGACAAACTGAACACACACAACACAAGAGACGAGTCACAGCAGTCACCTCTGATGAAGACACAAGTCCTACTGCCCAAACACGTCAGGGAAACATATCGCTTTTAACACTACTTTTTGTTAACTCTGTAAAATGGTTTGTGTCTCGACTCACCTCACCATTAGCAGCTGAAGATGATCCAGATCGCCATTTGAGTTCTGAAATATAAAGTGTTTTACAAATGTCCCAGCTTTTTCAAATAGATGACACATTTTCACCATGACTGAGATTTGCATGAGGGGAGGAAAATAATGAATCACCCTGAAGTAAACCAAAGACAGACTGAGAATAAGCCAAAGGTGTTCATTTTGTCTTCTTATGTACTTGAACTTCTTGGATTCTTTTTAAAGACAATACAATAAAGTGTATTTACCTTGTTGACATGTTTCTGACATGACTGAGAATCTGATCGCAAAGTTACTGAACTCAACACAACACTATACATGAAAATAATGACATAATATTTATTGGAATTACCTGTGGAGGAGCTGCAGTATTTCCTCTTCGTTCTCCACAAGGTTAAAGCCAGAAACAGAACCAGGACAGAGGAGAACACCAACGCTCCACTCAGGATGTAGATTATGGATGAATTATCTCCTCTCGCTACAAAAACACAAGACATTTGAACGTCTGAGGAAGACAGTTTAGTCCTTCTACACTGGAGCTGTAAACTTTTGGATGATATTTAGTTTCTAGTTTGATAGAAGAAGAAGAAGTGATCAGATCCAGTCCAGGAAAAATGGATCAGTCACAATTTCTTGATTAGCGCAGGAAGAGTCAAAGCAGTGGGTCCATGGGTCATTTGTAAAATACATTTAGCCTGTTTTATCCTCACTGTCTTAAAATATATTGGAGTAAATAGTGTCCACATTTGGAGCTATTGAAAAAATGAAGCTAAAGATGCAGTAAAAAAGAAAATCTCGAGGCCACCAGTGAGTGTAGCACCAATGAACTTTGGAATGGTCCACGCGGCGTACTCGATAAGATGCGGTCCTCGCGCCATACTTGACCAGACACAGTCCACGCAAACTCGAGAAAATCTTATAACGGTACGTAGCACTGGAGTGCACTGGTCGACTTTTACCCCTGCTCGTTAGACATTGAAATAAGAAAAAACACTGGTATTCTACAAACTCAAGGCAAACTATGAGTTGGTTGTCAGAAAATCGATATAAAAGGTGTCAGAATGGAAGGTTGTCGAAATGACGGAATGTCGGGGAGGGAGCCCGTCCGTGTGGCAGTATGTTGGAATAAGGGTTGTACCCCACATCACCGGGACAGTAAGTAACAGGTCAGATCTGTGGAGAAGTGAGGCTGTTCACCGAAATAATGCATGTTATGTTTTTGCACTAGTTTTGAGAAATAAAAACACGTGTAACTGAATAAATACAACATATATTTGTTTAAGGCCATAATATGGAGCATCCAAGGTGATCACAGAGGCAAGCAGATGACAGATCGTCCACCAGAAAAGTTACACAGTGCACCTTTAAGATTATTAGGAGATTTCAACATAAATATTTTGAAAGATAAAACATCTTCATATTCTGATGAATTTATAAATACTCTTTTTTCAAGTTATTTTTTCCCATTAATTAACAAACCAACAAGAGTTAGTGATAAGACTTCAACTTTGATTGATAATATAATTACAAACAATTTAAATCATGAAAATAAATCTGGGATCATTTACTCAGATTTGTCAGATCACTTTCCCATATTTCAATACTGCTCACTTAAGGTAAAGAGTTTACATTATGAAAACAAAATAATATTCAAGAGGAATATGAGCAAACATAATATAGAAAAGTTTAAACTCAAGATAAGCAATATTACTTGGGATAAACTGTATTTAGAGACAAATGTGGATGATGCATACACATTTTTCATTCAGCAAATCCTATTAAATTTTTGTGATTCCTTTCCAGTTAAAAAAAAATTAGAGAAAATCTAAGTCAGAGACTTGATAATCCTTGGTTTACATCAGATTTGTTGAGAAAGTTTTGAAAAAAAAACAAACTTTATAAAAAAGTATGTATCCAATCCAACTCCTCTTACTTTTCATACTTATAAAAAAATCAGAAACATCTATGTCCATTCATTAAGGTCTGCAAGAAAGAAGTATTACTTTGGCCAAATAAATAAGGCCTCAAATAATATTAAAGGTACTTGGAAGGTTATCAACCAACTACTACAAAAGGATGTTACATCCACAATCAATAGTATACCTTCAGTCTTTGTGGATGGTGCAACTACGTATGAACCTCCTGCAGAGATAGCACAGAAATTTAACAATTTTTTTGTTAATTCTGGTTTAGAATTAGTAAAGAATATTTCAACCTATAATGAAGATCCTTTGAAATACATTCAATCCAGCTATCCTGAAATGATGTCCTTTCAGCCTCCCGATATCAATGAAATAAGTAAAATCACTGATGAATTAAAACCATCCTCTGCTGGACATGATGGCATTTCTGCTTTTCTTGTAAAGCAAATTAAACATTACATTTTGAAGCCACTTACTTATATTATCTCACTGTCTTTAAACACAGGTGCCGTAGCAGAGGACCTCAAGGTAGCCAAGGTCATTCCCTTATATAAAGCAGAAGATAGAGCCTGTTTCAATAACTATAGACCCATATCTGTTTTACCTTGCTTTTCAAAAGTATTAGAAAAAGTTGTTTATAAAAGGTTATTTTCTCATATAAATAATAATTCAATTCTCTATAAGTATCAATATGGCTTCCGTAAAAATCACAGTACTTATATGGCTTTACTTCAATTATTTGATCAGGTAACGTTGGCATTAGAAAACAATCAATTTATTTGTAGTATTTTTTTGGACTTGTCAAAAGCTTTTGATACAGTCGATCACACAATTTTACTTGCAAAGTTATATAAATATGGTTTTCATAAAACAGTTTTTAAGTGGTTACAGAATTATATTTGTAATAGATCTCAGTTTGTTTATATCAATGGTTGCAATTCTGATAAAGCTGATTTACAGTGTGGAGTTCCTCAGGGTTCCATATTAGGTCCTTTATTATTTTTATTGTACATAAATGATTTATCTTATATATCTCAAGATCTTACCCCAAGAATGTTTGCTGATGATACAACTTTATTTATATCCAATTCAAACTTTAACGTTCTAATAAATCAAACTAATGTTGCTCTATCTGCTTATAACAAATGGATCAAAATTAACAAATTATCTCTTAATATCAAAAAAACTAATTATATGATTTTTTGTGGTAAAAAATCATTTCTAACTAACCCTAAAATCAAAATTGATTCAATTGAAATAACTCGTGTCTCATCCACCAAAATTTTGGGCGTCATTATTGATGATAATCTATCTTGGAAAGAGCATGTTGACTGGGTGACTAGAAAAATTATCAAATCTCTTGGTATTATAAGAAAGGTTTGCAAGTTTCTGGACTCAAATTCTATACTTACATTATATTATAGTTTCATTTATCCCTATCTGTCATATTGTAATATAGTCTGGGCAAGCACTTTCACTACTACTCTTAACAAAATATTATTGGTGCAAAAACGTTTTGTTCGAATTGCAACGCATTCTATGCCACTAACATCGTCTGCTCATTTATTTACTAAACTTAGCATTCTTAATATTTATGAGATTAATATTTATCAAATTTGTATTTTTATGTATAAAATTCTTTACAATTCAACAACGATCCCCGAACATTTCACATCTTATTTTAAAACTAATGCAGAGATTCATAGATACAAAACTCGTCAAATGCATAATTTTCATGTTCCAAAATTTGTCACATCAAGAGCTCAGTTTTGCTACGATACAGAGGCAGGAAATTCTGGAGTCAGTTTTCACATCTGGTTAGTGACGGCAGATCAGAGGCGTTGTTTAAAAAGAGTTTGAGGAAATGTTTGATATTTCATGTTAATGTTTGATAATCTTTTCATTGTGGATTTTCTTATTGTGTTTTAATCCATGTTTGAATCAAGGGGATTTAATGCATGGTGTTTAAATATAATTTATATATATATAATATAATATATATACATTTTTATACACAAAGATAATGTAAATGTTTTAATGTATTCATAAGGTGGAGGCTCTAATATAAGCCCTATTGGGTTTTTTGCCTCTTCCGGCACTTACTGTTTATCTAGTATGTTTCTTTTTATTGTCATGTTATATGTGCAAAATAAATAAATAAATACATACATAAAAAAGATTATTTCCCATATTACAGATGTAACTCACCTTTTATTGTCATCTGGGTCCCCTCTCCAAACAGGACTTGTCCACAGGCGGCCACAGCGCAGTAGTAGGTCCCAGTCTGCTCTGAGTTCACATTGTGTATGGGGAGGTTGTACACACAGGAGTTGGTTGGACTTTTTCCATTGTTCTTGCACCCATCACCCACACGACCTCCTCCATGACTGTACAGGACTCCTGCTGCAGACTCTTCAGACTGTTTGAACCAGTGAACCCTGTGCTGTCCTTCACACCTCTCAGTCTGGACACTACAGTTTAGAGTCACATTATTTCCTGGTTCTGTTTCCTCATGTGGAGACTGACGGACTTTAACTGTTGGGCTCAAACTCTTCACAATCACAGTGACACTTTCTATGACGTCTAGATCGTGTAGAAAACAACTTATGCACAGGTAAACTGCTGAGTCAGACATTTGTACATGTTTTATATTTAGGTTATTCTGGTCATGTTCAGTATCCAGTGTGAATCGATGGTTTCTGTTGAATTCTCCGTGTAAATTTTTAATCCGGTAATATTTAGAGAAAGAAGAAATGCGCTCTATTTCACTGCCTAAACTTTGCTTGTACCAGTAACGCGTGGCATCGAGCCCTGACTTGTCTGACTTGTCTTTATTGAAGCAGGATAAGGTGATGTTATCTCCTGCAGTAGCTAAGAGGAAATGGTTTGTTTCATGAAGTTTCACCTGAGCTGAAGAGATAAAAGATAAAGTACGTTTTAGTCTATGAAACAGAAAAACAAGAAACATACAAAAAGAAATGCTCACCTTTACTGGCCGACACAAGACTTAGGACGAACAGAAGTGTAGATGGTTGGATCATCTTGAGAATCAGATGCACAATGGAAACTATTGATACCACCTCTGCTCTAAAGTGTCAAGCTTGAATTTGATTGGCTTGTCAAAAGGTTGCCTGGTAAAATGATTGGCTGTAATGTACTGTGTGACCTCAATATAGTGCCGCAAGTCAAAGATTGTGTTAAGTTTCTTGCAGCTTCGGTGGAAACTTAAGATTTAACATGTGATGGTGTTACTTCAGTGTGAGTGAGGAGCAGAAGAATGACATTAGGAAGAAGTCACATACACGACCAGTCCTAAGTTTGGACACACATTCAGTTTGATTCAGTTTTTATTATTATTTATTATTTTATAGTCTTGTGGAGCTCAACTGTGACTGTCCAGCCCTGCTTCTAGAAACTCATTTCTCTTTTTTCTCTTTTTTTCCCCCATAGATATTCCTTTTTTTTTTTTTTTTACACTTGCTCAGGCATCATCAGCTATGTGGTAACTGATGATTACAAAACCTATCATGTTATTCAAATCTGTTTCTGAAATGTTATAAACTTATGTGTTATAAAATTAAAACATTTTGCAGAATCTTGCATTTTAAACCTGCTGTTTGGACTTAAAACTACTTGCGCTGTGGATATCAGTTGTCACACAGCTGCTTAACCTCCACAGTGCCTTTGAACTCTTAATATGAGTGGCCTCCCTTTGCCCTTGGCTTAATCATAAGGTTTCCTGAAATGGTTTTCACTTCACGGCTGTTCCAAGAATGACCAAAAGTGCAGTATCTAGGGTTCAAAGCAGAGTTATTATGATATATATTTAGTTTTTCTTTGTGGCATTCCTTATATGTTCATTCATTAGTTTGTATGTTCACAGTGAGAATCTACAATGCAAATAATCATAGAAATAAAGATAAAAAGGCATGAGGGGCACACAGTGCATTATTATAGTGCAATAATACTCAGACCAGGACATACAGTCCATCAGTTATTCACACATGCACATGCGCACGCACACACACACACACACACACACACACACACACACACACACACACACACACACACACACACACACACACACACACACACTGTTCTGTTCTGGTTTAGGTTCATTTTTTGGTTTGCATTGGGAGATTTCTCCTCTGCATGTGAGTGACACTGTGCTACAAAATCAGGTGGGAGCAATGATTTGTTGTGCCCCTTTCAGAGGCTCCCACAGTCTAACAGGAAGTAGCTGTGGCTGCCAGGACCAGAGAACAGGAACATGTGAACTTACACTAAGTCACTGTACATCTTCCTCATGATGACTCAGAAAATGACCCAACTCACTGACTGAACTGAACTGATTGTGGAGCGTTGTGTGTTTTTGACATGACTGATATTTTCTCTGTGTTTGGTGAGTTCAGATACAGGACTGCCTGCTGGTCGGACTCTCTTAAACTCACTCTGACTTCCTGATGGAAACCACAAGCTTTACTGCAGAGACACAAACTTCAAACAAGCTCAGAACACCAACGGCCTTCACCACAGACTATACAAGTACTTGTACTTTAACAGAACAAACACAGACCTTGATGTTACTTTTCCCAAACCAAAAGTGAAGCTTTGCACTGAATTTGGTGCCAGTTTTGTTCCATTTGATCTGTTGTCTATTGATTTTTCATAAGATTGAAGAAGAGTGGACAAAACAGAACAGTTACATAGTCACTACTGAGATGGGAGTGTTTGTTTCACTCCTGGCAGTAGCTCCATTGTTAGAGCTGTCAGATCTATTTGCCCACAGGTTTGCGGTTTGATCCCAGCTCCCACAGGTGCATGCTGTTGATGTGTCCTTGGGCAAGACAATTAGCCACCTTACCTCCATTGTCTATGCACACTGCTGTATGAGTGTGTGTGTGGTGTCTGGTTTCTTGATGTGAAGTGTGAGTGGGCGTTGGACGTAGAGAAGCGCTGTATAAATGTGACTGTTTAGTTTTATTTCACATATTCTGTGCAGAGGCTTCAGTTTTGTTTTCTTTAACTCACCACAAATGGGCCAAAGTGCACATAGCACCGAGTGCAAAAGTGCAGGTTTCACACCTTGGCTCTTTCTTCATAACTGTTACACTTCCTGTGCAGGCGAGGCACTACAGGCAAAACTCATTTTCACCTTTTGTTTTTGTGGTCATTTTGTTATTTCAGCTTTTATGTGGAACAACAACACTTTCCACTAGGCACTATGTCCTAAGACGTTTGAATATTTAATTCAATCAGTCTGTGTCCATAAAGTTATTGGGACATTGTAACATCTAAGGCTGTTTCTCAAAATGCATTTCCTCACAGGGACGTGAGGCACGCACCAAACTTTACACTCTCATCTTAAGATTTGAACAAAACATACATTCAAGTCTAATTCATTGAAGGTTTAACTCAAAAATTTTGATAAAATTTGAATTTTTAGGAAAATTTTCAGTCAGATCTAGTTTACTCAAATATTCAATAATATATCCACAAAGTCAACAGTCAACATTCCTGAACAGAATAAAGCACAGGATCTTCACTTAATACAGAACATTCATTCCCATATCACCCACTTCACCCACCCAAACTCCCACCCCAAAACAAAATATACATAAAAATACATGTACACAGACACATTTATATTTAAACACACGCACACACACACACACACACATACACACACATGCCGTTTAAATGGGGTATGAATACAGGAGAATACACACATCAAGAATCTCGGATTTCCGGTCATTGTGCAATTCATACTGGGAAGGATTTTCTGAAAAAGTGAGCATCAAACCTCCATGTTTGTTTTTCCAGTGGGATGCGTCTATTGTCAAAGTCGATATTTTCAAGTCTTTTGAATCATATCACTTTTGTTTCTGGTTCTGTTATTGTCATATTTTATGTTTGGGATTCGGACATCGTAATTGTGTGGTTGTTGGATCCTGACAGCGGAAAATGGCCCAAGAAATTTGTTTGAGATCTCCATAAATGCAAAAGTGAATCAGATGTGTGTGACTGCAAACCTTTGTTCAAACTGTTTCTCTTCCCAATGGAATTGAAAAATAGTGAAAGGTGAAGGCGATGGGCAGGATTGATCCACAGGAAGAACCAAAAAGGAAACATTTGACTGACTAAATCATCCCGAGTTTGCAGAGAACATTTTGTATGTGGAGCGACATCAATGCAAAATCCCATTTGTTAATCAGGAGGTACAGAAGACAAACAGACTGAGCTGCACTTTCTTGTTCTTGTGGTTTTACAGCAACATCACATCTTGGTCTCTTTGCAGTGGAAGGTGTTTTTTGGTGAACAGTTGGTGCCTTTTGCTTTGGCATTGACTTTTTAAATTCGTAACCAAGGTGGAGCGAGGGATCGGGGTTTTGCTTTGATGGTGCGCCACATACAAAATGTTCGCTTTTAGACTCGGGACGATTTAGTCAGTCAAATGTTTCATTTTTGGTCTTTCCTGTGGATCAATCCTGCCCATCGCCTTCACCTTTCACTATTTTTCAATTCCGTTGGGAAGGGAAACAGTTTGAACAGAGGTTTGCAGTCACACACATCTGATTCACTTTTGCATTTATGGAGTTCGCAAAACACATTTCTCAAGCCGTTTTCCGCTGTTACGACATCAAACAACCACACAATTACGATGTCCGAATCCCAAAACTAAAATATGACAATATCAGAACCAGAAACAAAAGTGATATGGTTCAAAAGACTTGAAAAGATCAGCTTTGACAATAGACACATCCCAATGGGAAAACAAACATGGAGGTTTGATGCTCACTTTTTCAGAAGATCCTTCCCAGTATGAATTGCGCAATGACCGGAAGTCCGAGATTCTTGATACGTTTATTACTCAAACATGCACATATCACTCTAAATACAACTCTGAGTGGATATATGTGAACAAAACAACTGCAACGTGATTAAAGAAATAAGTAAATGTTGTTTTAGAGTAATTCACAGTTTAGATTCCTATGAACACAATAAAGACTCGTGCACAATAAGGTGAGGTTAGGCCTGATGATGTTCTTTGGTCACAGCCACAGTTTGTATGAAAGTAAAACATTTTCACTAAACTGACACTTGAAATTATATCATTTATTTCATTCATAAAACTTACAATACATAACAAAGCTATCATAAAGTTAAACAGAACAAAACACAAATGAAAAGGAGAAGAGAGAAAAGCTGTAATAATCTCATAATTACAATAGACATTTAATAATAGGCACCTTTCTGGACCTTAAAGGAATAACAAAAGACAAATGAGAAAACAACACACAATAAAAAGGCCATAACACACCACATTACAGAGTGGCTTGATAAAAAAACACACTGCAGAATATAAAATGATGCAAATTGGACAAATACAATGTAATCAAATACACATTTTTACCAGGCTTTTTACAGCAGCAAAGAAGAGAGGACGAAAGAGATGAGAAATTAACCCCTTTTTTTTTTTTTTTCATTTCTTGACACTGAAGTAGACACATTCGGTCCATGTGTCAGGTGTGTGTCTGCTCCTTCTGTTCATCTGTTCTGTGGCCTTGTACTGGACAAGTTTGGAGAAATCCTACAAAATGAAAACAATACAAGACCGGTGAAAATGTAAATTAAGAGATTACAGTAAACACACTCATACCTCAGACTTTGCTGGAAAACTTCTCATGCATGTGCCTGCAAAAGAAAGGAAGTATTACATTTATCCTTGTGTTTCCTTCTTGGAGTATATTGTACATGCAGTACTTTGTTCTAAACTCAGAGTCCTGGGTTCTGTCTGCAGCTGACTGTAAAATCTTTTATTCATCACACACACAAAAAGAAGTGTTTCTTTGCCGTCTGAAAAAGTAGTTCTAATACTTGGCACATGTTTGTAAATGATGCATGTGAACACAAGTGACATTAAAATGACCTCTTCTTCCCTTCACAGTGAAATAATCAGTACCTGAGTTTTAAGGAACCATTTGGGCCAAACTGATCTTTTCTTAAATCTTATGACTGGAATCTTCGATTGAATCTTAAGACTCAATTCACGACCAAAATAACACAACTATATTCCAAAGTAAAACTCCTTTCTCTGAACATGTCAGTGCTAAACTGACAGAAGCTCTACTTCTTTAACTTCATGGAATCCTTTGGAGAAAAGGATGGAAGTTAAACCTAAATGGACACGTTACAATATTATACATGAAAGACATGATTATTGTATTTGTCACTGTGTGTTTTTGTGTGAATGAATGTGCTGCTCTGTGTCATTTTTAAATTAAATTATTTAAATTGAACTGAACCTGATGCCTCACATCAGGAAGGTTCATGGTTCTACCACCACCACCCGGGCCTTTCTGGGTGTGTTTCCTCCGGGAACAACAGTTTCCCCCACTAACCCAAAACATGCACCACAACTACAATCGTCCAGCTAAGACCGTCCTGACCAAAACTAACTCAACATGTGGAGATTGGTCCCTGGGTCCAGCACTGTGGCACTTTGCTCCTGACAGGCGGCATTGAAGGATGGGTCAAATGCAGAGGACACATTTTCCCTTTCTGGGACAACAAAGTCTAACTAAACCTCTTTTAACTGTATATTTGGTAAGTGGAAAAAAATAAATCCATAAGTATTTTGACGTATTATACATGAAAAAAGTTGACCTTTTTGTCTCTTGAGTGACGTTACCTATCTTACATTGTTTAAATTCTCAGCCCCTCAATACTCAGTTTAATGTTGGCACATTTGTAGATTTGAACAGTATCATGAGTTATTTACCTGTCTTACTTTGGAAGCAGAAGCAAAATGTGAGTAAAACGACCAGGCTGGTGCTGAATATGGAAACTCCACTCAGAACATAAACCATACTGTCTGAGACACCTACAAATGAACAATTTACAACAAAGTTAACAACAAAAAAACACTATATTTTAATGATATAACTCACTTTTCATTGTGATCCTGGTCCCGTTCCCAAACAGGACTTGTCCACAGGCGGCCACAGCGCAGTAGTAGGTCCCAGTCTGCTCTGAGTTCACATTGTGTATGGGGAGGCTGTACACACAGGAGTTGGTTGGACTTTTTTCATTGTTCTTGCACCCATCACCCACACGACCTCCTCCATGACTGTACAGGACTCCTGCTGCAGACTCTTCAGACTGTTTGAACCAGTGAACCCTGTGCTGTCCTTCACACCTCTCAGTCTGGACACTACAGTTTAGAGTCACATTATTTCCTGGTTCTGTTTCCTCATGTGGAGACTGACGGACTTTAACTGTTGGGCTCAAACTCTTCACAATCACAGTGACACTTTCCTGGAACTCACTTTGGTGTAAATAACATTCCAGACAGTGATAAACAGCAGAATCAGAGATGTTTATGTTGTTGATGTGTAAGTTATTTTTGTCATTGTCATAATCCTGCTGGAAACGATTGTTGCTGAGAAATTCTCCATAAAATTCATGCTTCTGGTCGTATTTTAAATAGGAAGAGATGAGCTCTGGTTTCATGCCCAATTTTTGTTTGTACCAGTAAAGTTTAGGTCCAATCTTAACATTTTTTGAAGAAGCACAACTTAGGGTGATGTTATCTCCAACAGATGCTAAGAGGAAACTGCCTTGTTCTTGTTGATTTACAGACAATGGCAGGTCAGACATCGACGCTAAAAAGACAAATGAAAACAAAACTTTCAAAGCGTTCTAGAGTGACAGGAACATATTTGGATTAATAGTACAATTCTGCTTACCTGAACTGACCAGCGCAAGAGTAAAGAGAGTCTGAAAAGAGAACATCATTGAAGATTGTGCAGAACACGTGAACTGTGTGAATGTGCTCACTGCTCTTTAAAGTCTAGTGTTGCATTTGATTGGCTAACAGAAAAAAGACACTGCACAGTAGATGGGAAGGTATTTCTTTGTAAACCTGAAAAAATCTACTGCATTGCCGTCTTATACAGTCAGGGTTTTGTGGGTAAACTTGTATAACCGTAAAAACACACTGACACGGTGCTTAATTTCCTGTCCACACTACTTGTTGCATTAGCTATACAGCAACTATGAACAATGCACCATGGAGTGTCCTTTGAATTAGAAATCTTGCATGTGTTCTTTTTGTTAAGTTATTATAAAAAATAAATAAATAAACATCTCAGTACAAGTAAGATATTCATGAGAATAAGTCCCCTGAGTTACAGAAGCATTAGAAAGTGTGCACAGGGCTTCAGTGTGCTTCACACTTTTTACATTGAGCTCCAAATGTCACATTTGATTTGGTTTTAATTCAGTTCAGTTTAGTTTTATAAAGCCCAAAATCACAACAGCTGTTGACTCTTGGCGCTTAACAAAATGATTGACTTAACCAATCGAAAGTTCTTCAATAACAGGCAAGTTGACTAACAACAACATTCACTGGAAACAAGCACAAGGAGAAATGTCCCAGAACTTCCCCTGTCCTTAGACCCTCCCTCTGCAGGAAAAAAAAAAAACACTATCGCAGTGGGAAAAAGAGAAATGTTGAGGAGAACCACAGCTGGTTTAAGTTGGACTAGAACAGTTATTTGGTGATGTTGGTTTCCATGAACTAATAAACGTAGTGAGTGAAGCAGAGCTCCACTGTCATGGACCAGCAGGCTGCAGATTTGTTCAGATGTGCTTCCATTTGCAGATAAGACTTGTTTCCACTGGCACGGTTCACTTGGGACCATCTTGACACGGGTCAGTTGGGGAGAGGGAGTGTTTCCATGACAATGGGGCCAGGCGGCTTTGGGCGTGACACAGGTCTGTAAGACACACCCAGTGGTGTAAATAACACAAACTCACACATGCAAATGTCCCAGAGCACACAGATGATCCTCACGTGGACTCACACACTGGGTACAGCACTTTATACCAAAGACGACACTGTGACTTGTACATGATCTTTGTTTTGATAAATAACTCTTTTACACGGCGGTTACCCGGACAGAGGTGGAGGATTGTGGAGAACTTTAAGATGACTTGTTTGGCTGCACCTTTACGCACAGGTGCTCCACAATGGACTCGTACCAGCTTGACTAAGCCTCATCTCTTCAAATCTCACAAGCTCAGCAGGGCCGGGCCTGGTTAGTACTTGGATGGGAGACACTGGGAATTCTAGGTGCCACACGGGGGCGCCAGTGGCAAAAACTGTTGTTGTGTCCTTAGGCAAGGCACTTCGCCCACATTGCCTACTATGAAAGCGGTGAGTGCGTGAGTGATGGTGGTGGTCGGAGGGGCCAATGGTGCAGACTGGCAGTCCCACTTCCATCTGCCTGCCCCAGGGCAGCTGTGGTGGTAGTAGAAGTTTACCACCACCGAGTGTGGAGTGAATGAATAATGATCTGTAAAGTGTGTTTGAGAGTTCAGAAAAGCACGATACAAAACTGATGCATTGTTTTTATTATATGTTATATTATTTATTATTACATCTTTTTCTGCGGGCCCAAGGAAGACGAGGATGTTGCAGAGTTTGGTTCATATTATGTGTTTGGCCTCAGCTCTAGCCACACACTACAGACTGTGACTGAATGTGAATTTATTACTGCACACTTCACCTTTGAGACACTGAAGGCTCTGCACTGCAGACTTGATGTGTATATGATGTGTGGATATAAGTTTTAGGTGGATATAAGTTTCACACACTGCACTTTGTTTGGACACAAGCGGGACTATGTTAAATGTGAGTTTGTGCTATTTATGTGTGCAGTCGTGACGAGTGAACACCTGCTCTGTTATTAATAGCAGGTACGAGGTTGGTACTGTTTTGGTTAGTACAGAGTTACTGCCCCTCCAGATTTAAACTCTATAGCCTCGTTTCCTTAGGGCTGGTCCTCCAGAGTCCACTCAGGACTGAGGGAAAGAGGAGGCTCTAGTAATTATGTGTCTGTTAATATGACACATGATTCATTTTGCCTCTGAGTGGGATATAGTTAATGGACTCAGTGTGTCCATCATTTCAATGTGTATCAATACACTATTGTTCTATTATTATTGTCTTTTTTTTGTTTTTTTTTATCTTGTTTCTATTCACTGCACTGCCTCACCTTAACTGGAGTCAGGCATGTTTGAATCTGCTGATAATGAGGGTATAAAATCCAAACCATGTTAACTGCATGGTTTGGATTTTATACAATTCTTTTTTCACTACTTTGTTTTAAATACATCACAGATTAAGTAAGAAATGTGTTTGTTAGAGCTGTTTGTGTCCAGTGCAGGCTCATGAAGAAACCAGACTTTGGTTATCAAGCACAGTGAGCAGGTTAAAACAAATATTTGATGTACATTTTTATGAGATATAACTTATAATCAGGCAGGAAATAAGAAGGAAAAAAGACGTTCTGGTTCTATCATTCAGCAGCAGAATAGAGGCATAAGGACCAGTGACCAGTACTTGATATTTCCTCTGGATCCAGGACACTTAGATTGAGAGTGCTTTAGGCACACAAAGTTTAACAGCAAAATAAATAAATAAATAAAAACGTTTAGTTCCACTTTCAGCAGGAACAGGTCATAAGGTCCAATGATTTGCTCGATGTGGTCTGGTAACAGAGGGGAGCTTCTGATGTCACCTCAACCAACAATTTTCGTTTTCTTAGAAAATAGCAAACCACTGAGCGAGACTCAGACTCAAGACTACGTTTGAGCAATTGAGTGGGCGGCGGCCATCATTTGCATCCTGTCAAAGATTTCAGTCTAAAGTCTGGGGCACATATGAACATCAGTTTAATGGTATTTCAACACCATGACACCTACACAGACACTTTTCTACCTGGCAGGCCTGCTCTACAGAACAATGGGTAAGTGACTTTTTTTTTTTTTTTACATTCTAGTGTCATGTAAATTAATTCAAAAATATGTCTTATTACAATTTCAGATGGAACAGCAGAATCACCTCATCCAAAAGGTCTTTATATATCAGTGAACACTGGGGGCAACCTAACCCTGGAGTGTCCACATAATAGTCAAGTCTTTAAATACTACTGGTTCAAGCAAGGTCTAGGGGAAATACCGCGACTTGTTTCTGTTATATATCGCGGCGCTTATGATCGAGTTTTGGAAGATGAAATAAAGAACGACCCACGCTTTAAACTGACCATTGGTGAAAACAAAAACAACGTTGTTATCTCAAATGTCCAACTTTCAGATTCGGGGACCTACTTCTGTACAATGAGTTATTCAATGATTTTTAAGTTTGTGCAGAGTATTACTGTCTTTGTCAAGGACCCACAGTTAAATGTGAACACAGCAGTCAGTCAGTCTCCACAAGAGGAAGTAGAACTAGGAGATTCTGTGTATCTAAACTGCAACGTCCAGACTGAGGGCTGTTCAGGACAATACAAAGTTCACTGGTTCAAACAGCATGAAGAGTCTGCAGCAGGAGTCCTGTACAGTCATGGAAGCAGCAGTGATCAATGTGAGAGCAACAGTCCAACAAAGTCCTGTGTGTACAGCCTCCCCATACACAATGTGAGCTCAGCGCAGACTGGGACCTACTACTGCGCTGTGGCCGCCTGTGGACAAGTCCTGTTTGGGAACGGGACCAGGGTGTATATTTTGAAGGTATGATACTACACAAGATGTATTTGTTTAATTTTCCCCCAAAATTCAAATATTCAAAGAAATATACTGTCATGTCCACAGTGAAAATATACTTTAAACTATGCATTTTTTATTTTTTTTTAACTTACTTGCTTCCCTTATAAATAAATTAGTACAGTGCCCTATACTAAAAATGACATGGACCATAAAGAGCATGCACTGATTATTTAAAATTCTAATGGCTTGTAGGAGGAAACTGTTGCAAAACCTTGTAAAATGCATGTTTATATCTAAATTTTAAAAATGTTTTTGACTAATTTAGATACATGAAATATTAGACATATTTGAAATGTCAAATATTCTGGCGACGTATCTAGTGGGTAAGAAAAAGTCAAGACATACCATTTGAATTGAGTAACAACTAAATCTGATTGTTCATCATTTCAAATAAGATAATAAGATCATTTTATATGAGCAAACACCCAGGAAAGAATATACATACATGCAACAAAGCAACAACAAAGTGCCTATTAGTGTTACTTGCCATAACTCTATTGTTTTTACTTTTAAAATTAAAGGTGCAGGATGTAATCAGTGGGGGACTAGCATCTGTTATTCTTCATGGAGATGTTACTTCTTTTCATGGATCATCCACAGTATGGCATTAAACATACTTAAGGTGTCTTTCATTTATTCAGTTAGATGTCATGTTGTTGTTAATACCTTGAAGTGCGTGCCTTCTTACTGTGCTTGGCCTGGTGGTGTGACCTGCTTGTCTCTAAGATACATCAGTTTAATGCCATACTTTGGAATATCGCATGCAAAGAAACAAAATCTCCATGGAGGCAAGCAATTGACCGATCCTTTAACAGAAAAGTTACATAGTGTAGCTTTAAATAAAAAAAATAAAAATAAATAAATAAAAAAATGCAAATATATTTTTTGTGTGTTTTTGAAAGCTGCTCCTGTCCACCTGTACATCCTGAGTGTAGCACTGATGTTCACCTCCAGTCTGCTCATCGGAATGACTTACTACGTGTGCTTAAAAAACAGCTCAGGTAAAAAACAATAATAGAGCGAGCTTATGAATGAAATTATTTCAAATGAATCATAACAGTGTAAATTTGTGTTTTCTTTGGCACGATCAGGGCGGCATTCAACTTCTTCAGCAAAGGCAAAGGTGTGTCTTATATATCTAAATCCCTTTGAATATTGATAATTGTGGTGTTTATGTATTACTGTGGTTTAAATTCATTTATTTTCATGTACCAGGGTTTTCCAAAACTTGTCCAGTACATGGCAGCCGAGCAGGTGACAGAAGACGGTAGAAGATTGACTGACGGCACATGGACGGAATGCATCTACTTCAGTGTGGAAATGGGGTTTAAATAATTTCAGTTCATTATTTTAAGTTTTTAAGATCTTTTAAGAACTAAATGTTGTCATCTTTGCACTGTAAATAAAATAAAAAATAAAATGAATTACTCTGTATTTGTTTACATGGACATTTTTGATGTATCAGACTGCATTTGCTTTCTTAAAATTTGAATAAATATTATACATGTATACATACATTTTTATTTCTCTTATATGTATATATTTGTACATTTTACTGGTACATCAGTCAGCCACATAGGTAATCATTACATTTTATTACATAAGCTGTCATAAGGCTGTCTCTGTCACCTTATACAACTAAATAAAGTGGCTGTAAAATTATGCAAATATAGTCAAAATTAGAAATACTACTAATACTACATAAAGATGTTTTTTGTTAATTTACTGACATTGAAAAGTTTCCTATAGGCTGTGTTTAAGGACAAGACAAGGCTGCCCTCTAACCCCTTTACTGTTTAATATTGCTATAAACCACTGAGGCGCCAAAGCGATATTAAGTTACTAATACAAAAAAAAAAAAAAAAAAGACACGTTGGCAACATGATCACAGTTAAAAAGGCTTTATTGTTGCTTTGGAAACAGCCTCTGACCTACTCTACTCGAACATACTCAAGTGTTTGAAACTTCAGGTCTTGGAACATCTGTGGTTACGATCAGGAAGTCATACTCTTCAGTTCTGTGAACATTTACCACCAGTCTGAGACGTACATGCGACGATACCTCGGTACACTAAAAATAAAACAACCTACACTCGTCACTCGTAGCTTATGTGGTTCTTTTGAAAGTTCAGCTACAGCTTCTGTTTGCTCACAAAAGCAGTAATATGAAAGTCAGGAGAGTTCTATCATATGATTGTACTTGGATCATGTTGAGTAACTACGTTTTACATACAAGATATCTGAATCTTTAAAATCTTTTTACACAACATTATTTTCAACTTTTTAAACTTTAACTTAAAGTCATATTTCATTTTATATATGTTACATTTAAAATAATTTAAAAAGGAGTGTGATCAAGAGTCTGCATGAACCACAAACATGCACAACAAAAGACACAATTTCAAGTTTTGTGTGTTTGTTTTTGATTAGAAAACACCAAGATCACATGGTTATACATTCAAAAGTCTGTTGAGCATAATCCAGGACACTGAAGAAACACTTTTGTATAGTTGATTAGATTAAGTATAATGTACAATACAGAAGTATTGATATATCAAAACTGAATTAGTGCAAATGTGGGTATCAATCCTTCTATGCAAATATAAGTGCTAATTTGCATATGTGAATTGTAAACTGTAATTTGAGACGTGTGTCTTCATAGTTTTGTATCATCATAATCAGCAGCATTTTGGACTGATCCAGTCTCTTCATGTGTCCAATCTCTTCTATTTGTCCTTTAGAGCCTATCTGAAGCTCTTTTGTACATGTAATGATTTAAATTCCTTCACCCTTAAGATTACAAAATAACACTCCCAAAATACTTGGTATAATATTGATACCAAAATGGTGGAATCACCCAAATTTAACACACAGAACAAAATGATACATGTTGTTCATTGTAAACACAATGTTGATCTGAAATAGACTTAGACAAAGTTCACTGATCCACAAGGGAAATTATTTCAATGATTTAATAATAGAAAGTGATCCTCAGACTTCCTGTTCAAACCTGCTGAAAGGATCCTCTGCTGCTGACTCCGCCCCTTTTGACTGCCCTTTCATAGTAGCAAGTCAAAGGTTTTCATTTAGTGTTTTATTATACGTTATGTTATTGTACAAGAATTTACATTACTTGTGGGGCTGTGCAATTAAACATTCATTTCAGTTTCAGTCGTTTGTAATGTCTAATGGTCAGCGATTGGGTCTTTTTAATGAAGACAGTTAAAGCCTCTGTCAGGTAAACTAAGCCTGTGAGTCCAGACTTTGGCTGAAAAAATATGACTTTCTTGTGTTAAATGGGTATAACAGAGTCTGTATTGTAAGTTCAGGAAGTAATATTGAAGACCATTTTATTTTATTAAGCCAAAAATTTGAAAATTCATATTGTCCAGCCTTAATAAGTTGTGCTCACAGATATATTTTCTTGGTTTAAAGTGAAATAACTAATAAGCTAAGTAAATATATGCTGAAAACATTTTCCTCTAGTCTACAAATGGAAAAACACTTGACTTGCTAACCTCATTGTACAGTGTCTCTTTTGATCCGCCAATCACACGCGAGCTCGACTATGAAAAGAAGAGACTCTATCAATATGTTTCACTTCAGCACAAAATGAGGAAGATGGCACCTTCACAATCTGTTTTCGTCCAGTGTCTGCTGTTGGTTTCTGTGGGTGAGTCATAGCCTAAAGACAATTCTGATGGCTTAAACAGTCAGATTCTGTGAAGTTTGTCCTCATTTATAATCTTATTTCTAATGTGTTTTTGTTTTTTTTTTTTTTTCAGTTCAGATGAATGGTCTACATGAGGAGGGTACTTTCCTCTCAGCATCTTTTGGAGAGAACATTACATTACGTTGTGCTTCACCTGCCAATGCCAAGGTCGGAGCTAAACTTTACTGGTACAGGCAAAAATTGGGCATGAAACCAGAGCTCATCTCTTCATACTTTAAATATGACCAAAAGAGTGAATTTTATGGAGAATTTCTCAGCAACAATCGTTTGAAGCTGGATTATGACAATAAAAAAAATGACTTACATATCAAGAATGTAAACATCTCTGATTCTGCTGTTTATCACTGTGTGGGATGTTATTTACATCAAAGTGAGTTCCTGGAAAGTGTCACTGTGATTGTGAAGAGTTTGAGCCCAACAGTTAAAGTCCATCAGTCTCCACATGAGGAAACAGAAGCAGGACATTCTGTGGTTCTAAACTGTAGTGTCCAGACTGAGAGGTGTGAAGGACAGCACAGGGTTCACTGGTTCAAACAGTCTGAAGAGTCTGCAGCAGGAGTCCTGTACAGTCATGGAGGAGGTCGTGTGGGTGATGGGTGCAAGAACAATGGAACAAGTCCAACCAACTCCTGTGTGTACAGCCTCCCCATACACAATGTGAACTCAGAGCAGACTGGGACCTACTACTGCGCTGTGGCCGCCTGTGGACAAGTCCTGTTTGGGAACGGGACCAGGATCACAGTAAAATGTGAGTTTTTATTTTATTATTGAGCTTTTGGCTCTTGCATCCAAATACTACACAGAAAAATATGGTTCAAAGTTCAAACACTCAAAAAGGATCTTCACGTAGGGGTCAGTCCATATGAAATTAGCTGCCCTCCCCTATGAGCCATCTCAGATTTGGCTGAAAAAAAAAAAAAAAATCTAAAATGACCAAATGAAAGAATCTAAAATTTTAGCTCAGTCCTTTCAGTTATTCCTGAGTTATGGCCCTTTGAAATTTTTTTTTTTTTTTTTTGGGGGGGGGGCTCCTAAAATCTCACATTTCGTTGCTGCTCAATTTTTATTTTTATTTTTTTTCAATTTTTGAGGATATATTTGAATATTTGAGAGAATGACCATTTTTGACTGCAATCTCACACTTTTCTGAGCTTTCGTGTGGATGGTGTAGAGCCGGGGTGCCCAATACGTCGATCCTGATCTACCAGTCGATCACCAAGGTCGTGTGGGTAGATCGCCGTGTCTTAATACTCTTCTCTGACTTGATCGAATTTGGACTCGGTCTTGTCTCTCACTCGAGGTCTGACACTCAACAAGTGCGATCATATTTCATTACGGCCGCTGCTGTTGGTAATAAACTTGTAGCGGGTGCAGGAGCGTGTGGGGCGTCTCAGTGCAGCCTGTGCCCCTCATTTGAAACCCGCGGAGACTCTACGGCGCATCACAAACACACACGCTCCCTATGCACGGCTCGTCTGCGACAGCGTGTGCCCTCGTGTACCAGGGCAGGTTCAACTTCCTAAACATCCTACCTGTCCATCTGCCTCACGTCAGCACGCCGCCCCTCGCCTTTTCACGCTCTCGCTCCTTCCTGCGTACAGCGAACACAAGCCCCTCCCACAGTGCGGCTGATTAGAAGAGCAAGACCAAACGTGAAGCAAAAACGAGTCTAAATTTGTGTTCCAGTGTTGGCACAAAGCAGGTCTACAGCATAGAGCGGATCTACAGAACAGACCTACTGCCACATTTGGCTGAAGTTTGCCTAATAAAAATGCACAAATGCATCTGTGTTTGTCACGATGTGAGTTTGGTTTGGTAAATGTGCAGAGGCTGGTAAATATCACTGCAAAACCAGAAAAGAATGTAACTCCAGTTTGGAACTTTAAAAAACAGGTTTAAAAATCTTACCTACTTCCTTCACTTTTTTCACAGTTTTGTGTAAAGTGCCAGAGGAAGTTCTTTTAAAGAAGGGGTTCTCAAACTGTAGGTGAGGGTCCAAAAAAGGGGCACAGAGTGTTTCAGTGCAGTTTGCTTGGCTTTGTATTAGGTAGATCTTTATGACTTGGTCATTTTGTAAGTAGCTCACAGGCTGAAAAAGTGTGAGCACCCCTGGTGCAGAGCCCCAAATATGGTCACAGAACAAACTTTTTGGCTCCTCCTTTGGACCCTCAGTCCCCCATGTGGGCACAGATGTTGATAACATTTGGACCAGAGAAACTTTGGCATATTCTGATTAGTTTAAAGTAATAAAAACATCTACTATTAACTTCCTTCATTTCAAATGGAATTTTTGAAAATGAGCTCTCTTATCTTTGGTGGAGCTTAGGGACTTTTCCACCTGCAGAAAGGTTCAATTACCTTTAATAGACTTAAACACTAACTGCTTGTTATAAGAGAAGACAGTTGGAGATTATTTGTGGTACATTGTTTGTGATGGTTTTGGTGGCACAGTAAAACGCTCGGCTGCAAGCACCAGTCTTCAGACAAACTGACAACAATCAAATATTGACCACACTCCAGGTGTTTGAATGAACTTCACAAAACATAAAGGATGTAAAGTTTTTCTTTAAAGCTCTAAATACATTACAAACCATGAACTTACTTCCAAACTAGAAGAGTGCTACAGCAAGACAAAGACTGTGAATGGTACTAGATCACACCACAGTTTCATTCTGGTGTCAAATGATAAATTAGAAATGAGGAGAATATCTCAAGATCATTTATGTTCTGAAGTGTCAGTTTCTGAAATACAAAATGAGATTGTGTCAGATTTCTCTCTGTACCAGCAGGTCAGTACATGCATGTATTTATGACATCAGGTGGTTCATTGGGAATATTTCAGAGTGTTTAGATGAACATGATGATGTCTGTGTGAGATTCATGAACGGAGATGACAGAACCCTCATCTGTTCTCCTGAACATCGACAAAACCATGTTGAGTCCCATTTCAGCACAGAATCTGTTGTATTAAGGAAGTCCAGAGAAGAAGAGCACAAAATTATTGCCTTGACACTGCAGGTTATGACAGGATCCAAACATGACTTCTGAAGTTCATTAGTCGTGAGGAACACTTAGTGTGCAAGATACAAATACACATGATCTACCTGTAGGAGGCAAAGGGACCAGAATGGGCAGATTTTTCCAGTATGTTGGTATTTTTTGCTGAAATTGTTTTCCACACTGAATTTGAAAATGTAATTTCTGGCAGTTGAGCAAATAACAGATCAGATGACTGTATTTTGGTAACTTTTGTGTCAGTATCATATTTTTTCTTGTTAATGTTACTGCCTTCTTGTAATATTTTTTGTGCAAAAATAATACACATATGGTGGAACTGAAAGTCATGGTCACAGAATCAGAGATTTTGTGATTTAACAGGCAATGAGTATTCCAATTCCTATCTTAACTTTTGTTGCTTTACTTAGACACCATGAAAAGCTGTGAGATAACAAAAAAATTGAAAATTACCTAAGCTCCACCAAAAATGACCCATGAAAGTTCATTTTCAAAAATTCCGTTTGAAATGAAGGAAGTTAATAGTAGATGTTTTTATTACTTTAAACTAATCAGAATATGCCAAAGTTTCTCTGGTAAAAATTTTTTATCAACATCTAACTGTGCCACATGGAGAATCGAAGGTCTAAAGAAGGGGCCAAAAAGATCAGATTTGGTCTGTGACCATATTTGGGACTCTACACCATCCACATGAAAGCTCAGAAAAGTGTGAGATTGTTGTCAGAAATGGTCATTCTGTCAAATATTCAGGTTCAACAGTTAGTTTGTAAATATCTGTTTGGAGTAAATAGGTCTTTGACCTCAAATATTGAAAAAAAAAAAAAATAAAATTGAGCAGCAACAAAATGTGAGATTTTGATAAAGATACACAATATTTGACAACAGATTCAGAATCTATGACCAAGAATCTACAATAATACAAATTGTAATACAAATTCAGCTTCCTAGCTCTATTTTTTATGAAGTTCTGGTCTCTCAAACCTGATTATAAATTAAGGCTTTCGAAAAAGTGAGCATGGCCCCAAAATTTCAAAGGGTCATAACTCAGGAACGACTGAAGGGACAGAGCTAAAATTTGAGATTCTTTCATTTGATCATTTTAGAAATGTTTTGAATTTTTTTTCAACTAAATCTGAGATGATTCATAGGAGAGATTTCTTGAAAACGGCTGATTTCGTATGGACTGACCCATAGACTTTCGATTTGGAGTCAACTGCTACATCAATCTTGATTTGTATTAATTTATTATTCTGAATGGCAAGTGCAAGGGTCTTAAACAAATCAATGCATTTCATTGATACAAGTCATCCTGCTTGTGAACATGAACACTGATTAAAAAGTCATTCTAATGACATTATAGTAGTAGTATTTGTTTATTTCTGACATGTGTCTCCAACATACAGTGTAATGTAACAGTCATAATCTGTCAAAATGAGTCAAAAAATGGAATCTGTCAATCATTCAAATCTGTTCTGGTTTCACAGATGGAGAACAGACTATAGTTATTTACCTCTTGAGTGGAGCTTTGGCAGTCTCCTCAGTCCTGGTGATGCTTCTGGTTTTCTCACTGTGCAGAGTCAAAAAGAAATACAACATTCTGTCCACAGGTAACAGTCTGTGACCCAGATGTTTTTAAAGATCTATGTATAACTGTGTGGTATACACAGTAACTTTGACAAAATAAGAACAAAACAAAAATATTTCCTGGTGCAATATAAAATCTACAACTTTCTACTTTCTGCTGTGAATTTCAAAATGTTATGGTTACTCTTAAATTGTGTCATTCCATGTGAATTCAACACATTGACCATCATGGATTTGTTTAAAATTGCACTTACAATACCCAAGTAGGGATGTACGATAGCATCATTTTAAAAACATTTTACTTTGTTTGTCAGTTTGTGATGTTGACATTATTTCGTTGTTCGATCTCACTTAACTGATCTGTACATTTTACACATTTACAGAACTCAAATATCAGTCCAGAATACTGGCTACGACCAATGGAGAGGTGAGTTACAATTTATTTATTTTTTAAAATTCACATAATTTACAGACCATCTAAAAAAACTTCAATATCATGAAAAAGTTACATATTGTTTTTCATTAATTTCAGAACATCAACCCCATATATTATATCGACACATGAAACTTTCAAGACTTTATTTCTTGAAAGTTTGATTATTATTGCTTACAGATCATGAAAACCACTGGAATAAAAATCTGCACCTTCATAACACTTGTCAACAGGAGGACGCATGAAGTACTGTAAAATGTCCTGTAGATACTGTAGCTGCGTTTATTCTGGACTTCAGTAAACAATGGACCAACACCAGCAGATGAACTTGGCAGCCCAAATCACCACTGACTGTGGAAACTTCACACTGCACTTCAAGCAACATGGACTCAATACCTCCCCACCCTTCCTGCAGACTCTGGGACCTTCATTTCCAAATGATATGTAAAATTTACTTTAATCTGAAAAGAGAACTTTGGACCACTGAGCAACAGTCTAGTTCTATTTCTCCACAGTCCAGGTGTGACTGTTCTGACATGGTCTCATGTACTGACTCCAGCCTCTGTCCACTCCTCATGAAGCTCCTCCAAATTCTTGAGTGGATTTTGCTTGTGAATCATCTCATGGCTGCGATCATCCGTTTGCTGGTGCACTTTTTCCTACCACACTTTTTTCTTCCCCTCAAGTTTCTCTGAATCTGCTTGGATACAACACTCTGTAACAACCAGCTTCTTTAGCAATGACCTTTTGTGGCTTTCTCCTTTTGGAGGATGTCAGTGAGTGTCTTCTGGACACTGGTCCAGTCAGGAGCTTTCCCCATGGTTGTGTAGCCCTCTAACCCAGACTGAGACCATTTAAATCAAGGGGGTCAAACTCATTTTGGTCCAGGGGCCGAATCCAACCTACTTTGATCCCAAAGGGGCCGGATCAGAAAACTCATGTCATATAAACCCCAAAAATAACAATAAGTTCAAATATTTGTGCAGAGAAACACAAATCTATTACAGAAATCTTTTTTAATTGATGAACTCTTTCTTTTACAAAATATTATAATATTATGAACAACCTGAAACTTTAAGAAAAATACCATTTCAACACAATGTTTTAATATGAACTTGGATGTAAATAGGAATAAGTCAGTTTTTCTTGTAAAATCCTGCACTCGGCTCCACTTTTCTCATGTTGGACATTTTTCTGATGAGGGTGTCACGGTCAACAGTCAAAACGATCGTCCTTTAAGAGCGTTTGGAAAGAGACAAGTCTTCATTTGTGCTGCTCTGGTGGGAGGGGCCACGTACAGAGACACTGGAGACACTCCTATGCTCAGCACCGCAGAAAATTACCAATATTTTAATAGAAAATATAATTAAAATATTTTAGTAGAAAATCAGCCGAGGACCAGATTAAAGGTCTTGGAGGTCTGATTTAAAGGCTCAGGAAACCTATGCAGGTGTTTTCAGTACATTAGTTGTTTAGAGTGTGACAACAACCAATATTCAGCATTTTTACAATAATTTTCTGAATTTAGGGTTTTCATTATCAATAAGCCATAATCATTTGCAAGCTTCACTCTATGAATTTATATAAAATATGGGTGTGACTTTCTGAAATGAGTGACAAAAATTATTGAACATTTTCATATATTCTAAGTGTTTTGTCTTGTACATTGTGAATAGACACTAGACTACATTTTTCTTTATTTTTCTCAGGAGCAGGACGTGCACTCCCTCCATTACGCTGCTTTGAGCGTCCAGCCTCCATCCAGAAGACAGAGAGTCACCGCTCACACTGACTGTGTGTACTCCGGTGTTCACCCACATGACTGAACCATGGACACAGCCCTGATGCTAGATGTGCTTTTTTGCGATTTGCTGATTCCCTTAAAGAAGAGATATTATTCAAAATCAACTTTTTGGACCATTTGAGTGGTTTATATGCAGTGTTGGGAAGTTTACTTTTAAAATGTATTCCCCTACAAATTACAGATTACATACCCCAAAATGTAGCTTGTAACATAATCCATTAAATTGCTTAAAGTGAGCAACGTAATCTGAATACTTTGGATTACTTGATTTGCTGTAGAGAAGCAAAGATGAGGAAATCTTCACATAAGATGTTTTGTTTGATAAAAGAAAATAAAAAGCCCAGACTTTCCTTAACCAGATTAAAAATATTATTGATAGAAGATGAGGAGACACAGTCCGCACAGCAGGATTTAATCCTTTTAAAACCTGTTTTAGACCTGGTTTTAATCGTGGTTTAGTCCTGGTTTAGACTTGGTTTAGACCTAGTTTAGACCTGGATTTAGAGTCTGGCAATGAGTGGAATTACCAAGAAAAAAAAAAAAAGGGGGATATCGCCCAAAATGTGAAAACAGGAAAATACTGCCATGTAATCTATTTATTTCAACCAAGTAACTGTAATCCAATTACCAATAATTGAAACAGTAACTGTAACTGAATACAGTTACTCATAATTTGTACTCTGACTCCGGTACATGTAATCCGTTACTCCCCAACACTGTTTATATGTGATCCGTGTATGAGTAATCTAGAGATCTGTCCCGCACACTATTAGCACCTTCACTGCAGTGTGACGATTCTGTACAGCGCTCAGACCCAAGCCTATATCAGCCTTTCTCCAACCCAGCCATTTTTCATGAAGCAGGATACAAAGCAAATCCACTACAACTTCACAAACCTGATGTGATGTGCAGTAGTTTAGTTATTAGAATGCAAGGGGAGTGGGGACTACAAGAGAAACTGAAAGAAAGTACACATGTTAATATGCTGTTTTCAGGGAATGTCGCATTTTCAAATTAATATAATGTCACATCAGCTACGTTCAGACTGCAGGGCTTAATGCTCAATTCCGTTTTTTTTGTGAAATCCGATGTTTTTGGGAGGTCGTTCACATTTCCAATTAAATGTGACCTGTATGTGACTCCAGTGTGAACATGAAACGGTCCAAAAGTGTCCCGCATGTGCACTGGAGACACGATGACGTCAACCGCAGTGAGCGTGCTCTGTGTTTACAGAAGTTGTCCAAACATGGACGCAGCATTGAGCACCTGGAGATTTTAAAGTTTCTTTCGTATCGGAGCCAGAACATGAACAACTTACTTGTTTTAAGGAGGAGATTGAGAAGGAGAAGGACGAGGTTTTTTGGTCGTGGTGTTTTGTGGGGCAGCGGCAGCGACGTCCGTTGACAGGAACATGTGGATGTGGAGACGGAGCCAAGAGTGGTGAGTGGTGATGTGCTTCACTTCAGTGACACGGAGTTCGGTAACAATTTTCGCCGACTTCAGCGCAGAATAGTGATGTTTGTGTCTTGTTGATAACGTGTAGGTCGGATTCATGCGCTTTGGCCGTTCAGACTGAAGTCACATGTCACAAGATCGGATATGTATCAGTTTTAGGAGCACATATCCAAGTGGCATTTTAAAAAATCGGATCTGTCATTAAAAGATCAGATACAGGTCACATAGGGGCCAAAAAATCGATTTGGGTCACTTCAGGCTGCAGTCTGAACGCAGCCATGGTGATCAAAATATGTTATGTGTTAACAAGTAGAAGATTGGAAGTACTGTTGAGAGAACTGCTGAGAATCTGCATCTGACAACTGACAAACAAGACATCAGTCAAATAAGAGGTCAATTATCGAGGCCTTATTCTGGACTCCTATTTATTATTTGAAAGTCAAGTTAAAAATGTTAGAAGAAGAAAAAAAATCTAAATTGTATAGCTTTAAAGTAGCCTCACTTGGACTGACTCTTAAGCTCTATGTTCAGTCCACATCTGTAGTGAAAACCAGAGCCACATGTGTCTCCTGCCAATCTCCTGACTGAACTAAAAAGCCAAACAAACTATGAAAAATTCTCTGTGGAGATTAAAAAAATGGTTGTGGAATAAACAAACCTGCAGCATTGATAACAACTGTGCAATATCACACAGTGTGAAATGTGCAGCACTGATGTTTAGTGTTTTTGTATGTGGATACAGGCTCATGTAATAGTGAAATGTAGAAATTAGGGGTGTCAAATTATTGCATTAATTGCGATAAATTAATTACAGTCATATTTAGCGCGTTATGTTTTTTAATTGTGTTAATGTAATTTTTAATCTCTAACTTTACTGTTTCTGTATGCGAGTTGCCTTATTATAAAATCTGTTTTTATGTGTTGTTGGGACAATAACACATCGCTCCCGCAAAGAACTGTAATTTTCATTCCCGTTCTCACCGCATCTGCGATAAACCTGCACACGTCTGATCTCTGAAAACATCACGACACAGAGCAGACTCACCTTCAGCATCAACATCCCTCTGTCACAGAAAGAACACTCATATTCCACTGAGTCGAGTCCTTTAGTCTGACAGAAAGTGAACTGCATCAGCGCACAAGAGCGTTTTTTTTTTTTTTTTTTCTCTGCTTAGTTTATACAAATGAGTCATGCAGTTTTAAGTTTTGTTTCTGTGAGACTTGTACAAAGCTGCATTAAACACATTCTAATGTCAAACAGGCTGATGTGGCTCTAGAGTGGTGATGGTTTATATGTTGTAAAGTTGAGTTTATTTTTGCAGATTAGTAATAGTAATAATAACGATGATACTGTGAAATGTAAGTGACTGCATCTGTTAAAGTTTGTTAAACAATGAATGACTTTATAAAGTCACTTTTTTTGTTCTCTATCAGTTTTTTGATCTGCCACAATAATGTAATAATGATTTTAAATAAAAATACCTCAAGTTGAATGTTTTGTCAGCAATTTTTAGGTGAGATTAAAAAGAGATTTATTAGATTAATTAATTAACCCACTGACGCCGGATGCTGTGCAGCGCAGCGCTGAGTCTCCTCCCGGTGTTCCAGATTGTCTGGCGATCAGCGTAATTGGTAAAGGCGGGGCCACATCTGGAAGCATGGGGGGTGTGTCCTCCTCTCGCTTCCATTCACTCCCATAGAGAGACGCAAAACTGCCGGAGTTGTACTGTCGCATTAAACCTTCTTTATCGTGGCATATTATTTCCTCATTGAAAAATAATCCAAATGCATCCCGAACATGTTTCCATCAAGACCTGGTTTGAAGTAACAAACGTTGCTCTTTACTGCAGCGCATGAACGCGCTCAACCACTTGATCTGGTCTCTGTTCCAGACACTTCTATAACAGGTGCTATATCGCTATGTCGTGTAACAAATAAACACGGTCAAACACAAAAATGCTGACAGTGACAATGACAGTGAAGACACGGACAACATTTTTGTGTTTGACCATGTTTATTTGTTACACGACATAGCGATATGGCACCTGTTATAGAAGCGTCTGGAACAGAGACCAGATCAAGTGGTTGAGCGCGTTCATGCGCTGCAGTAAAGAACAACGTTTGTTACCTCAAAACCAGGTCTTGATAGCCAGACAATCCACAACACCGGGAGGAGACTCAGCGCTGCGCTGCGCAGCATCCGGCGTCAGTGGGTTAATCTCTCAATTTTTTTAATCGCTTGACAGTACTAGTAGAAATGGTATGTTAATATGTATTTTATAGGAGGAAACTCATGATTTTTTAAATATCTAATGCTTTGCTTAGTGAATGGGTGATATTGTGTGAGTGTGTGTGTGTCAGAGAATGAACAGTGGCAAGGCAAGGCAAGTTTATTTGTATAGCACAATTTGTACACAAAGTAATTCAAAGTGCATTACACAGTAGGAAATACATTAAAATCATAATAAAAACAAATCAAAACATAAATAATCATGAAGATTAAAATAAAAAAGAGAGACATAAATTGGAGAGAAGAGTGCAGAATGAAAACCTTTCAGTTATTTGCACAGTTAAACAGAAATGTTTTGAGTCTGGATTTAAACAGCGTCACAGAAGAGTCTGTCTCACATGTTCAGACTGTTCCAGGTTTTAGCTGCATGAACCTGAAACTCTGACTCCCCTTGTTTAGTTCGTGACTCTGGGCACCAGCAGGAGGTCGGTCCCTGAGGCTCCTCAGAGTGTGAGATGGTTCATATGACACTAACATGTCACAGATGGACTTTGGTGCTCGGCCATGGAGAGACTTGTACACAAGCAGAGCTGCTTTAAAGTCTATTCTCTGAGCCACAGGAGCCAGTGCAGAGACCAGAGCACAGGACTTATGTGCTCGTACTTCCTAGTTCGAGTCAGGACCCGAGCTGCAGTGTTCTGGATGTTCTGGATGTTCTGGATGTTCTGGATGTTCTGCAGCGTCTCACAGCTCGTTTGGAGAGACCAGTGAGCAGAACATTACAGTATCTAACCTACTGGAGACAAACGCATGGATAAGTTTCTTCAAGTCTGATTTAGACAGTAAACCTTTGATTTTTGCTATGTTTTTTAGATGGTAAAAGGCTGCAGATGTTATAGTTCAAGTCTGAGTCCTTTATTACCCCGAGATTTCTTGCCTGATTTGAAGGTTTTAGAGAGAGAGACTGGAGGTGACTGCTGACACTGTCCCTTTGTTTCTGTGGACCAAACACTATGACTTAAGTCTTGTCAGAGTTTAGCTGGAGAAAGTTGTTTTGCATCCACACACTGATCTGTTGGATGCAGTGACAGTGCAGTGTGTATCGCTCTTGTTGTTGACTGAACGTAACAGATTGTATAAGTGATTTCTGTCAGATGGAAACGAGCCTTTTTAGCTCAGATCTGGTGTTGAATGTCTTTCTGCTATTTTATGAGCTTAATGTCTCTGTAAATTGTTCCTTCAAATAAAGACTAACCTAAACTAGAGCACAATGTTTTACTTTCACTTTAGTAATATTATTTTGAAGGAACTGTACTCTTTTGGCTTCTCTACACACTTCTGCGTAGCAAACAGGTCGATGTCAATAGACCAAAACCACATGTGCCCACGCCTCTTTCCACTTACCAAGCAAAGGAGGGCTGGACACTAAACTGAAGAGATCATGTACTTTTCTGTCATTTTTAACCAAGACACAATGGCACCTTCTCAGATTCTAACTTGCATTCTGTATGTTTTCATGCACACTGTAGGTGAGTTTTATTTTGAATTATTAATGGAGGTGGGGAGAGTAAGACAAAAATTGAGCTGAAGTTAGAGTCACGTTACTTCAAAATAATGTTAATTGAAGTACAGAGTAGTAGTCCAAGTAAGAGTAAAAAGTATTTAGTAAAACTACTACTCAAGTAATAGTCAGTGTTGGGAAAGTTATTTTTAAAATGTATTCCCCTACAGATTACAGATTACATACCCCAAAATGTAGTTTGTAATGTAATCCATTAAAATATTTAAAGTGAGTAATGTAATCTGAATACTTTGGATTACTTGATATTGTCATGCTTTTTAAAACAACATGAATGTAACAACCACATCCTGAAAATTCTTGTTTGTTCTCTTCAAATTGTCTGTTGAGCCAAAGTCTCCATGAATAAACAACTGTTTACTGTAGAGAAGCAAAGACTAGGAAATCTTAACATAAGATGTTTTGTTTTGTCTGTTAAAAGAAAATAAAAAGCCCAGTCTTTACTTAACCATATTAAAAATATTATTGATAGAGAAATTATTTTTATATAAAATCACTGCTGCCTTAAATTATGTCCACTCTACTGTTAGTGTCATATTGTTTAGACCTGGTTTAGACCTGGTTTAGACCTGAGCTGTTTAGTGCTGATTTAGTCCTGGTTTTAGACCTGGTTTTAGTCTTAGTTTTAGTCCTAGTTTAGTCCTAGTTTTAGTCTGGCCTTAGTCCTGCTTTTAGACCTGGTTTAGTCCTGGTTTTAGTCCTGGTTTAGCCCAAAATGTGAAAACAGGAAAATACCGCCCTGAAATCCATTTATTTCAACAAAGTAACTGTAATCCAATTACCACTCACTGAAACAGTAACTGTAACCGAATACAGTTACTCATAATTTGTACTCTGATTATGTAATCCCGGTACATGTAATCTGTTACTCCCCAACACTGGTAATAGTACTTTAGAGAGTAACTCTCAGGACGTAACATGTAATTTATGATTTGAAGATAATGTAATTGGAACGCACAAAATATAGTATTTTCAAAGGATAGACAAAAAATCATATATGAAGGAGTGAGGCAAGAAACACAAATGTTCAGATCATTTAATATTGTCAACATGAAGTCACTTCTAAATAACTAACCAACAATGTCTTTAAAAAATTACTCAAGTAAATGTAACTGAGTACTTACCCACCTCTGATTATTAATAATGCCACCAGTAAACATCTGTGATTTAACATTGTGTACTGTATTTTCAGCGCACACACAGGCACACTTCCTCTCAGCGCCGGTCGGTGATGAGGTGGTTTTAACCTGCTCCTCTTTACATCACGTCAGGTCTGGTGCAAGACTTTACTGGTTCAAATACAGCATAGGTATGGAACCGACGGTCATAACTGTTTTAAATAAATACAACCAGAAAGGTGAATTTTATGGACAGTTTCAAAATGATCGTTTTACACTTCATGAAACCGACTTACACATTTCTGATGTCCAAATGTCAGATTCAGCCATTTACCACTGCATCATTCGATTAGGATATGAACTAAAATTCGTGGAAAGTATCGCTCTGATCGTCAGAGATTTGAATTCTGAACTTCGGATTCATCAGAGCGCATCTGAGATAATCGAACCGGGACAATCTGTGAGTTTAAAATGTAACGTTCAGGCTGAGAGCTGCGGTGGTGGACACAGGGTTCACTGGTTCAAACAGTCTGAAGAGTCTGCAGCAGGAGTCCTGTACAGCCACGGAGGAACTAACACGGGTGATGGGTGCAAGAACGATGGAAAAAGTCCAACAAACATCTGTGTGTACAACCTCCCCATACACAATGTGAGCGCAGAGCAGACTGGGACCTACTACTGCGCTGTGGCCGCCTGTGGACAAGTCCTGTTTGGGAACGGGACCAGGGTTTCTATTGACGGTACGACAATATACGTAGATACATTTGTTCCATTTACCACCAAAATGCATCTTCACATCAAAATTTTGAGTTGTATTTTTGGCTTCTTTAGATATATTCAATTAATAGACAGATTTTAATTATCAAGATATTTCTGCCTAGATTCCATTTGATCCTTTCTTCAAAATATCTGTAATATAATGCTTATTTGGACACGTAAAAAATAATTTGAATTACTTCAAAACTAAATCTACTGCTGGATCATTTCAAATAAGAACATATCATTTTACATGCAACTCAGAAGAAAATATACATGCATGATTTTGTAAAGCAACTTTGAATGTCTAATGGGAGTGTTTTAAAAAAAAATCTAGCGTCTTCTTCTGGGGCCCTGAAAGCTGCGCCCGTCCATGTGTACGTCCTGAGTGGAGCCTTGATGTTCACCTCCAGTCTGCTCATCGCAATGACTTTGTACTTGTGCTTAAAAAACAGCTCAGGTAAAAAAAATAAAAATAAATAATAATAATGTATTTATTTATATTAAAATGAATAATAATAGTGTAACTTTTTTTGGCAGGATCAGGAGAAAATTCAGCCTCTTCAGCAAAGTCAAAGGTGTGTCCTGTTTATTTAAATCTGTTTGAACATTGATAATTGGGTGTTTATATATTACCATGGTTTAAATGTATTTATTTTCATGTACCAGGGTTTTCCGAAACTTGTCCAGTACATGGCAGCTGAGCAGAGGGCAGAAGAAAGTAGAAGACTGACTGACGGCACATGGACTGAATGCATCTACTACAGCATGGACATGGGCTTTAAATGAATTGAGTTTTTTATTAATATTATTTTATGAGTTAATTTTTTTTTTTTTTATGATAGATTTTTAAAAATAGTTTCAAGCTAAGTATTTTTGTCATGTTAAAGCTGTATAAATAAAATGACTCTTTATTTGTCCAGCCTTTATTTTTGATCCTAAGGAGATTTTTTATACATTGTTTGGTATTTAACTACAGCATTCAGCCACATAAGATACTCATTAAATCTGGTTAAATTAGCTGATACAAAGCTGTCTGACCTTGTACACACACACATACACATGTACACACACACACACATGCACACACACACACACACACACACACATGCACACGCACACACACACACACACACACACACACACGCACACGCACACACACACACACATGCACACGCACACACACACACCATGCACACACACATGTATCCTATTGTATAATGTTGTGATTTCTCTAATTATTTTTGCTTGTCTTTTTACACGGGTTACTATTTATGTTGAAAAGTGTATTTAAATAAAGTTTTGCATTATGTTCAATCACCTACCTACAAAGTGGCCTTACTGGAAATATTTTTTTTATTTTATTTTTTTATGTACTGAACAACAGACAAGTGAACTTCCTGCCAACAGACTGTGGTTATGGACAAGACATGGCTGCCCTTTGTCCCCTGTACTGTTTAATCCTGCTATAAACACACTGAGGTGCCAAAGTAATATTAAGTTCTTAATACAAGTTGCAGAAATGTTAACCACATGATCACAGTTACAAAGGCGTCATTGTTGCTTTGGAAACAGCCTCTAACATCCTCTAACATACTCATGTTTGAAGCTTCAGGTCTTTGAACATTTGTGGTTACGATCAGGAAGACACAGTCTTTACAAACATTCAGCACCAGTTTGAGAAGTACATGTAAAGATACCTCAGTGTGCTGGAAATACAACACACAATCCTACACTCTTAGATTCTGTGGTTCTCTCGCTTCAGCCACAGCTCCTGTTTGCTCCTTCACAAAAGCAGCAATATGAAAGTCAATCTGTCATGTGATTGTCCTTGAATATAAGACATCTGAATCTGAAACATCTAATATATTCAACTTTGAAAAGTGGTATTTCATGTTCAACATTGTTACTATATATATATATATATATATATATATATATATATATATATATATATATATATATATATGCTGTCATGCGATTAAAAAAATTGAGAGATTAATTAATTATGATCTGTAATTAATTCATCTAATTAATCTCATTTTAATCTCACCTAAAAATTGCTGAGAAAAGCCTTCAATTTGAGGTATTTTCATTTAAATTCATTATTACATTATTGTGGCAGATCAAAAGACTCATATAGATTTAAAAAAGTGACTTTATAAAGTCATTTATTGTTTTCTCCTGGTTTAGACCTGGAATGGATTAATTTGTCCTGTTTGTTTAGCCTGGTTTAGACCTGGTTTACTTTTAGTCCTGGTTTAGACCTGCTTTAGTCCTACTTTAGTCCTAGTTTAGTCCTGGAATGGATTAATCCTGGTTTTAGTCCTGGTGTTAGTTCTGGTTTAGTCCTGGTTTAGTCCTGGTTTAGACCTGGTTTAGACCTGGTTTAGTCCTGGTTTAGTCCTGGTTTAGACCTGGTTTAGTCCTGGTTTTAGTCTTGGTGTTAGTTCTGGTTTAGAGGCGCACAGGAGGAAGCGCGGTTTACGCAGCGTACACGAGAAAACACGATCCACACGCGGCTCACGGGAGCACGTCGGTGTCCGTGCAGTAACTACGGAAGGAAACGTGGTCCGCGCGTTCTCAGGTTAATGACGATGATGAAGGTGTGTGTTGTGTTTGTGTTTGTGTGTTGTGTTTGTGTGTTTGTTTGTGTATTTGTGTGTGTGTCCCCTCATGTGGCAGGTCACTATAGGACAGTAGTGCAGACATCATGAGTCTATGCAGGTTGTTTTCAGGCAATATTATATTTGTTATTTTCTTTTATATTTCACGTCGGGAGAATAATTTCCAAGACACGAATGTGTTTTTACTTGCGCGCTGCTGCCTCTGTTCTACTGGCTCTTCGACCTGATGCCGCCAACGTTAACATGACGTTTACATCGCTCTTACTGCGCGCGTTTTGTGTGGGTTTCCGGAAATGAGTGGAATTACCGAAATAAAAAAAATATATAAATGTGTTT